GTGATACTTATAAAAATAAAGAGGTATCATTGAACGAGAACGCATTTGGTTTATTTTTAATTAAGTATTTGCCATTTCTTGCTTATACCATCATTTCCTAAGTATATAAATATACAGGAAGTGCCTTAAAAAATGTACTGTAAACAAGATTTCCAAGTAAAAAGCAAATATTAAGGATTCTACTTGACTATTCATTTACGGAGTTTTTAAATTATTTAGGAGTTACAAAGTTACTAATCAATTCTATAAAAATATCGGAAATCATCTTATTTTTTACTGAAAAATCCATTATTTTTTCCCTATAATACAGTATACTTCAAGAGACACTTTTTATACATTTATAATAATTGATTATACAAAACATTTGATAAATAGCGAATTTCCTGGTAATGAAGGAGTAATCTTTTTCTTAGAGGTCTTTCTTGTCTAACCCATACCAAGAGAAATCTCCTATTTGTGAGAACCCTCTCCCTATAATTTTATAAATCAATTCTTTCCATCTATTAATATTTGTTAATTATCTTCTACCCTGTTCAATTAAATAACTGTAATTAATTTATAGTCTAGAACATTTCGTTTTGATTTTCGATCATGAAATAATAATAAAATAATTCAGATTTGATCAATTTACGTCAAAATAATGTACAAGATTTTAAATCTAGACGACTTATTTGAATATAAATTTTCTATTGTCAATATTTTCTTTTCAAAAAGTATGTATTCTGTTATATCCAGAAAACACTCTATTTATTAAATACTCTGCACACATATCGTTGGGACTATACATGTAATTCTTCATTCGAAGTCTCCTTTTTCTTATAAAAATGAAGAACATGTCAAATACAAAGGAGGTTTTGAACATATACAATACATACATATTATGCTTTTCCTCTTTTTTCTAACATGTGTAATCACTTCATTTTGTTCAACATTTTATTTTGTATGTTTTTGCTTAAATATCGAACAGATCCAGTATTTGCTATTTATTTATTTTTTTTTTTTTTATTCTTTGAGAGAAAATTATATTTTAATCGAAAATTTCATTCCAATTGAAATATATGCAGGAGAAATTCTTGCAAAAAGTACAAGTCATAACCATTAACAAATTAAAGATAAAAGAAGATACTATATAAATTATTCAAATCTGAACTGTCATAGTACATACAAAATTTCAGAACGATCTCGTGTTGAGTGTTTTGAGTGTTGAAAAATTTTGTACGATACTGATCATCCTCTTTCAATATAACGCATCTAAAATAAAAAATTTTTGACGTTGCAATTCAAATTGCAAGAATCTCTTCCATCATTTTTAAGATCAATCAAAAAAATTATATCACCTCATTTTTTACAGAGACTCATTACTACTGCTGCGTGATCCTAAACACCGGGCCAATTCTCAGGAAGAATCTTCGCAGTACAGACCTTAATTCCGGTTTGAGATCAAAGCACATAACTTCACAAAGTAGTGGATAACAGCTGGACGCGTGAACAGCAAATCGATTGTCGCTCATCTTCAGGATTCTCGTGAGAAGCAACAACAATATCGGAGTCCAAGCATCTCGGTGAGCCTCGTTCGAAAGTGCCAGGAAATATTCTAGCGCTTCGCAAGCCACTTCAACGAGCCTAGTTTCCACCTTGCTCCAATCAGCTCTATGAGCTTCGTCACTGTACATTTTAAAAAGAATTCTCAATGCACAGGCTAACGACTGTGTTTCTTGTTTGAGTAGATTTGGTTTCACGTTGCCCCGGAAACCAGCCTTCCACAGCACGTTCCGTTGTTCATGATTGGAGTTGAAACTCTTAGCGAATCTATGGGATTTCAATAAACATTCGACTAATTGCAATAGATGCGTGGTGGTCAAAGCGTAGTACATGCCCTGTTCTTCCTTTTGCTGGTCTGCACCAGCTCTTACACCCAATTCAGAGGACTTTCCATTGAACATGTCCGCCTGTGCTAACGCTAGATTCTCCTGATCCTCTTTTCTAGACGTAGCTGGGTAGAAGACGATGTTGTCTATCGTCTGAATCAGCTCTAACTGTACGACACACTTAATTAGTAGTGCGGAAAAAACTTTGTTCTTTACGGTCTCGCCGTTTATTAAACTTTGGGAACTGTTGCTCCTTTTGAGAATTCCCACGTGACTGTCCGCTTCTCCTGTAATTACATCTAGATCAGATTCTTTGTTAGGCGATTGGGGTTTCCAAGTGAGTAGGGCGGACGGCAGGGTACTCTCGAAGATGTCCAAAACACAACTGCAAGTTTTCTCCCAAGTCTGCTCATCGAATTTGATGCCGTTGCTGATCACAAGGTTCTCCAGGCAATTGGTTCCTGAACGTGCCAGTTGTTCATTATCTTGCTGCACGCACCAGAGTAGCTGGGAGTACAACTGCTCTAGGAGAAGAGGTCCTAAAATGTCGTAAAACTGTGAGAATACATCGACAATCGCGTACAGGGCATGGTTGCATGTTGTTGTCATCCATTCTGCTTTCTGAAATGTATGTATAAAACATATACATATTTTAGTTTACAATAAGAATTGTTGCGCTTTAACGAATAATAGACTGCCAAAATCTTTAGAGTACCTCTGTATGTTGTTCAGGAAGTTTCATGTTGTCAAAGATTCTGAACAGGACTTGGAAGAGATCTTTCCACCAATGGGGTTTGAAAGAAGCTCCATGCGTCTTCACGACATCAAAAAGAACGGTTAACGCTCGTGTTCGAACGTCTAACTTACACCTGCTTACTATACACGACAACTCGAACAGCAGTGGAAACCATCCCCTAACCTAAAGAATAAAAACTTTCGACTAGTAAATTCGTCCAAATAAAAAATGCTACGTGCGAAGGGATTTTTTACCCAAGCTCTGTCTTCTTCAGATACCATTCCACTATCATCCATCATGCCTTCCGCGAAGAGATTTGGGTTGGCATCAATATATGACGCGCAAGAACGTATCAATCTTATGGCCTCCATGCTTGTCTCTGGGAAGGAGGCGTTGCAAGCAAATTCACTGAGGCACTTTACGGCATCTTGGAACGAATCTACCATGATACTGAAATCTTCAGCATATAATTCATCTGAAAATATATGTCACATATATTATCTTACAAAATGAAGCAATTAAAACTATATATCACGTTTCAAACACTCACTTATAATCTTTCCAGTCATAGAAAATGCAAGCTCTACTACAGATTCATCTCTGTCGCTAGCTGCATGATGAAACACGCTGAATATATTTTTCCATCCTGACCGTATATTAGGAGCCTGTGAGTGTACAATTTGCGCGACACAACGAACTACCATGTCTCGAATTACTGGTGACCGGTTCTTCTTCATGATATGCTCAAATGGCCTAAGGAAATCCTTTTGAAATCGGAAATTGGCGAATTCTCCCTTCTCTATAAACTTAGTTGCAAGCTGCCTCAAAGAATCAACTGCAAAGAAAGCGATGTCTTGACGGGGACTGCAGCCAACTCTGTCAAAATGATCCCCTATCACTTGCCAAATTCTGGACCACTGAAGTCTGATACGTCCCATGTTGTAATAAGAAATCTCTACGATTTTGGTCAATGAGAACATTCTAGGTTGCGTTGGATGTGATAACTCCTCCAGAGAAACTTGACAAAGTGCTTTCACGAATTCTACAATGGCGTCACCATCTAATCTGGTGGAACCCGTGAATATCCGATCGACTGCCACCACGACGCTTTGAGAACTTGTTTCTCCTATTGATTCCTTTACACTTGCTAAAAGATATGTAAAATAAATTATGGTAGTGTAACAATGATCATGACATCTTTTAAGAATTGGAAATTTAAGAATTTCTAATGGCACGTGCAATTTTTCCACTGTTACATTATTACATGAAAAATTATTAAACAGTTATAATATACTCACGATCTAACGAGCTGAGATTCAAATTATTGTTCTGATGGGAATTATTATGTGTTAGGTTGAAGTTGACCAACGGCGACGGGAAATGCGGCTTCGAAGGTGGACCGAGGAGCTGTGGTCTGACTCCAGTCCCAATTAGCTGAGCAAGCTCGAGTTGGGAGATGCATTTCACAACATCCAGCCAAGAACTGCCAAGGTAATTACCATCAGTGTGAGCTACAGTAATCAGAGTTTTAATCGTGTCGATGTTCTTCGCCTTCATTTCGGTGATCGGTGAATTTGCAGTCAATAGTGTGAACCGTGCCAAAGCTTGCACGTATGCATCTCGTTCTAACTATAATTTAAAAGAAAAAACAAACTTCAAATGTAAAGGCTGACGACTGAATAA